CTCGCGTTTGATCGTTTGTTTAGCTGGACTCGCTTCGTCTTGGGGGGAACACGTCTCCAGCCTGTTGAATTGTCGTGAAAATACAACACCAGCAGATGACGAACGCAATGCCCCAACCGAAGACGTGCCATTTATCGACATTGAAGAAGTTCGAAGTTGTAAAATATGATCGGTTGAAACCATGCCTCACGATTAGAACCTAAGTATGATCTGCCAAGCCCAGATAAGGAGCGCTCCCAAAGTCTACGCCAATTACCGGGGAAAATAAGCCTCCTCAACATCACATATAAAGCCATATCAAGCGTATTGTGCGAAAGACTAAAAGCCACCGTCAACAATCTGATTTGCAAATCCAATTTTGGCCGGATATTCATCATGCGCCAGATCTTGCAAAAGACCTGGGAAAAGAGGATTGGGATAAGGAAGCGAAACATATGGCTTTAGTTGTAAATGAGGGCAAGATGAAATATGTATCTCCTGTCATCAAGCAAATAGTCATTGCTTTCGTGGCTCGGTTCCCATGGCACTACTGGCCTTCATAACTTTGAAGTTGTAGACGATTTCGTCCATCTTGGAATCAGTATTAACACCAACAACAATGTCTACGTGGAAATCCAACTAAGAATCACTCTTGCCAATAGGTGTTACTTTAGGTTGAGTAGGCAATTGAAAAGTAAAGTCCTCTCTCGAAGAACGAAAACATATTTCTAGAGTTTGATTATCGTTCCCGTCCTGCTATATGATGCGGAGGCAACGTCGATAACAACATCTGATGAGTTGACGCTAAGAGTTAACTCGGCTGTAATTGAGTAAGCGTTGTCTACGCTAGTAAAGAAATAGAATATTAGATTTATGAATTATAATAAAATTTTTGTCGGCTTTATCTAATAAATAAATACAAATTGAATATGTATGTGCGCAATCAGGCAGCAACTACGCCCTTGTTTTATATAACATACTTTTTACTTTTCAACCCTCGCTCGACTCAAGATCGCATATTTAAGCCCAACTTCGTAAGTATGGTTCAGAAATAGACCTACCTCTCATATCACAGACCTTCTATTTATGACAGATCTGTAGCCTAAAAATCGAATTCATCGGTGAAAACTTGATTTTACTTGATGTATGAGATTATTACAGTGCTCTCCAAACATTTGTCAAAAAGCACTAACGTAGGCCCACAAACACAACTACCTCCCTTATAGGTGGACTTTAGCCCCTGAGAGTGAGATTAGCCACCTGGTGTTACGCATCAGCTGAGTGTCTAAAGTTCGGTTCCTCACAAGTTCAGTTGTCCTTTTTTGATAGTTGTAATTACGTAAACCTATGTATGTATGTTTGTATGTATGTATAACACCACAATCCTATTTATTTTGTTAAGCGCGAATTCAATTGATTGTTAATATTATTTCAGAAAATTCTACGAACAGCGACAAAATCACGGTCATTTGCAACACGTCACTTACGTCAATGTTTGACACACACATATTAATGCGTTTAGTGCCCGAAAATTTACTCCACGTAAATGCTGTACTACATAATATTAATTTAATTATAAAATCAAAAAAAAATTATGTTAGTGAGCGGCTTGTTTCTGTGGCGAGCAAAGTGAGTTTGGATTAGAACTCATGTCCACAATTTAATGGAACCCTCTCTTAAATTGATTTTCATCAAGAATTTGCTGCAAGCAAAAATCTCGCTCTCCAATCAGTCTTTACTTTTGAGTTCATACCGGCGAAAAAAATTGAAAATAAAATATCGATGGTAGAGTTCCAAACGCTTTACAAAAAGCCAAGGGTAAAACACGTAGTTGTCATCGCGTATCCTACCCCATATTAAAAAATGACTAACTTATACAAGCAAATTTTTAACACAGGCATATATCCCCAAAATTGAAGAACAACGGAAGTACTCGTTGATCCCATACCTAAACCCAACAAACGTTCGACCGAAATTTGCGAATACCGTCCGATCTCACTACCACCTTGCATGGGTAAAACTTTGGAGAAATTTATAGCCAAAAGTATTGTGTGGTATAAAAGAATAAATAACTTAATTAGCTCCAAACAAGTTACCTTTAAAAAGTAACAAAGTACAATAGACGTTCGGCTGCACCGTCAACATCATGTATCTGCAGCTCTGTCAAATATTTAAAATCATGTAACGATTTCGGCTACAGATTATGAATAGGCTTTTGATCCCATTGGAGTACACATTGTTCTACAGCAATTATTAATTGTGGAGTTGGTCCTAAAAGGGTTACATAGGTCTTGAAACTTCACAAAATTCATTTTTTTTAAAAATTTTTGTATAAAAGTACAAAGTGTCAGGAATATTTTCCCCAAGTTTCAAGTCGATCGAGACGAAACTGTAGAAATTAGAGAGCTTTATAACCCACCGTCTTTGTCTTGGCTTGACCGATGGCGAAACTTTAAACGCGCTTTTCTTAAAACCACTTTATCGAAATCGGTAGTCGAAATTTCTCAACGACTATTAAAGCGATCGATTACAAATTTTCCACACGTTTTTTAAGCATGTTTTTGTAGTCCCTGAACGAAGAATTTATTTCATCTTTGATTCCAACTTATTTTACAAGCCAATTTGTGGCATAATTTTATGCAAAAAATGACGTTTTTTTGTAAAAAAAAAAATCCTACAAAATAATCAATTTTAAATTTTTTAATTTTTCTGCGTTCAGAGACGAGGAAAATTCACCTACTTTGAGAAAAAATTTGGATTTTTTATTTCAGTTAAAAATTTAAAAAGTCATCATGACTACCGCGGAAGCACTTTCTTGTGAACGGTCTACTTCACTACACTGCCAACGCCTTAACTTATACTATTTTTTATTCAAATTTTCATCAAATGTTGTCCACATATTGAACTTTTATATGTAAATAAAATAAATTGTATACTTTATTTGGTATCTTTTAAAAAAATTAGAGAAAATAAGCTTTTTTTGGCCGTCAAGACCTATGCTATCCCTCAAAGGTCCCCTTTATCAGTTGTTCTCTTTTTAACTGCATTCGATCAGCCTGTCGAATGTTGCTTTAAAATCGACGAAAAGATGTTGTAAAACGATATACTTTTCACGGGTCTTTTCTAAGATTTGGCGTATGGTGAATATTTGGTCAATCTTTTACTTACTAGGTCTGAAGTCACACTTATAAGGTCCAATCAGTTTGTTGACGCCATCGTTTGCGAATTCGGGTTCACCATCTCCGGATGTATCATTTTCACTGCCAATCAGCAGGCTAGAGAAGTGGTCCCTTAAAGATTCAGTATACTCTGGACGTCAGTAACTCACCCCCTCTAGGTCCTACAAGAGTTTTGCTCCGGTCTTGAAACCTTCCGTAAGTTGCCGTACCTTTTCGTAGAATTTTCGATCATTAACCTTTCGATCAGCTTGCTTCCCTCTTCAGCTTTTGATATCTATCCCACCTCGCACGTGTTGTGGTCGAACGCAAGGTTGCGAGGTGTTTTTCGATCAGGGGACAGCCAAGTAGCTTGGTGAATTTTCTTGTGCTGGAATCTAGTGCACAACCATATTTTGGGCCCCGGCGAAGTCGATCAGTCTCAACCCATTTGGGGATGTTTTGTTGTGAAGGCTGAATTTTCCGACTGTTTTTCTAAAAATACCTTCTCCGTCCATCTTGGCGTTAAAGTGTTGAAGTCACCAAAACAATTTTGACAACGTATCGGGGTCAGCGCTCGTAAAAACCATCCTTTGTCACATCGTCCATCTCTTGCGTCGGCACGTGCACGCAAATCAACGATGCGTTGAAAAATTTGGCTTTAAAGCGGATTATGGACGAGACGCTCATCCACCGGAGTGAATGCCAGCACTCTGCGACGGAGTCTCTCTCCTACCAATGGCCGCTGTAGTATATTTCACAAGGACCCATTTTCTTCCATCCTCGTCACGTCCATTGCATCTCTTGGACGGTGGTAATGTCAGCCAGCTGAGCAGTGGCACCCTCCGAATTATTAATTGACCGATCATTCCAGTTGCATGCCCTCAAATCGTAATCCTTAGAACATTTGGAGGGATTGTCGTCATAAGGGTGGTCTCTAATCCGAAGCCATCTTTGATTTTTCATTGGCTGCAAAACTTTTACGGTTGTATAAACTGATGCTGGACAACACCAGAAGCGCAGTCGTAATTGAGAAGGTAGGGTTTCGAAACCAACCAAGGTTTTAGACAAGGTGACTCCATATCGTGTGATTTTTCAATATATTGTACGAAAAAATATTCCGATTTGCAGAGCTGAATAGAGAGGGTACAGTCTTCTATAAAAGTGAGTTCTGTTCTCTCCAGACTGGAAGGATTCACTATCAAACCCATAGATAGTGAGCTAGGGCAAGTCGAAATCAACTCGCTTCCTAGATTACTATTGACGTCATAACTTTGAAGTCGTAGTTAAATTCGTTTAACTTGGGACCAGTGCTAACAATAACAACAATATCCGTCTTGAACTCACTCTCAACGAAAAAAGGCCACACTCCTCAAATCTCTCATTATTTTTGTGCTGGTATATGGTGTGGAGGCTTAAACTATGATATCATCTGATGAGTCGGTGTTATAAGGTTTCGAGAGTTAGGTTGGTAGCGGCAAATATCACCGACGATGGAACAATGATCCTTATGAGATATCAGCGAATCAAGTGACAGTGGCTATGCTGGCCTGAAGGGATGAAAGCACACCAGCTTTGAAAGTATTCGATGTGGAAGTAGAAGAAGAGGACGACCTCCATTAGGTTGGAAGAATCAGGTGTAGAACGAGCTGGCTGCACTTGGTATTTATTGTTAACTGATTCCGGTATTTCAGAGCGTTTAACTCACTTTTCAAGTGACAAAATATTTTTCGTAGAAAACCACACTCGGCAGCGATACATACCTACTCAAAATCAACCCCAAGGATTAAAATTCCATTTTCATTTGGTTTCTTTCTCTTGCATTTTATTCTATTTCACATTCAAAAACTACACAGTATTACATACATTTTAGTTGCTTTAGTTACTTAGATAAAACTTTGTTACAATTTCTACATTTTTGTTTTTATCTGCTGGAGATTTGTGTGTAGAGATATCGTTGCTTTTAAAATACAAAACATTAATGATGACCAGGCGCTGAACAAAAGGTTCATTCGCGCACAACTTTCCGCAACTTGACAGCTTTTGCACTCACGCATACATACTTATGTACATACCGGATAAGCATATCGGACAGCTTCTCTTTGTACGCGAAACAAATTGACAATTAATGATACACATATACACACAGACATATTTATTTCTTATTTACTTCTAGGAACTGCACGGACAGATTTTACAATTCAATTTTTGTTACAATCCGATCGAGTCTGTGCTCTTACGTAAATCTACATACATATACATACATATATACATCGACTACCTAACTCAGTCCATCGTTTGTTATAAGCAACATAGCCTCTTCTTGAAACGAATTCCATGTTCAAGGGCACATGCCTAGGTACGAATATATTCGCTTGGAAAAACTACTGTTGTTGCTTCGCACAAAATTTGTACATACAATACATATGTACATATAAATTTCCACTGCAAATTCCCACTCACATACACACATACATATTTATGTACGCACATAAGGAAGGCGAAACATCTGCCTGTAATTGATATATATATGTATTTACGCATAGCGACGACCTCTGGTCGCACCTGCCAACAGCCCAGCAGGCAGCCAGACCAGCAACAGCTGTGTCCAGCCGAATATGGCGCTGGTGCCACCACCGTACAGCGATCTCGGATGACCGACACTGCAGAGCGCGTTCTCGTATTGGCGACAGTTGGAGAAGTGCTTCTCATCCGACAGTGTTTTGGCTGTGTCACGTGCAAACTTAGCTGAGTTCTTGTAGCATTTGTAGCGAGCGCTGTTGTAAATACAGTTTTCATAGGCGTGGCGAGCGCTGCAAGAGACAAATAAAGAATGGTGGAATTAAAAGTTTTCAACAATTTCAATTTGAATTCGAATTGAACTGGCAATGTACGTGTATATACAAGTATATATTTTGGTAACAAAAAGTCCAAAGTATATGAGTGAAGAGGTGAAAACCATGATGATGAAGACATGAAAAAATGATGTATGAAGAATTTAACTATAACAGCAACTATAAAATTCCTAAATAAGAAACTATGGATATTTTAATTGTTTTAACTCAAACGCATCTACTTCATCAGTTGAAGGCTTCGCATCGAAATTGTGTTACTACCAAACTCGAAACACTTAAATTTACTTTCCAAATTAGAAAAATTATTCAAATTTCACCGACGTTCAACGAGTGCGATTCACGGCAGAAGGCCTGAGCAAATGAAGGAATGCAAGTTTAGTGCTGGTTTCGTGGTGGGAAATAGGCTCCCTCGCCGAATACTGCCATTCAACCACATGAAAGTGACTTTTATCAACATATCGTTGATTTGGGCCCACGTCCCAATGCAATAGAAGAACGATGTGTCCAAGGATGCCCCTTATGTGTGCGTAGAGCAAACTCATTAGCGCTGCCACAGCCGCGATATCAAAATTGTGCTTGGCGAATTTAACGCCAGGGTAGGCAAAAAAAGGTAGCTGCGGCACAACTGTCGGAAAATTCAGCCTGCACAACGAAACATCCCCGAATCCTGAAACAGTGTTGCCTGTAGTACTAGATTCCTACAAAAGAAAATTTACCAAGTGGTTCCTCTGCAAGCTGGAGTATCCGTATCCATCCGGATCACATAACCAGCGGCTGCGCTTTGTTTCTTTATTCGCTGAACAATATCAATGTCGCCGTATATCTCAGACAGCTCATCATGCCATCGGATGCGGTATTAGCCATTACCAAGTCGTAGAGGGCCATAAGTCTTACGCAAAACCTTTCTCCCGAAAACTCCTAACGCCGTTTCATCAGATGTTGTCATCGTCCATGCTTACGCTCCATATAGCAGAACGGGAGCGATGAGAGACTTAAAGAGTTTGGTTTTCGTTCGGCGGAAGAGGACTTTACTTTTCAATTGCCTGCTCAGTCCAAAGTAGCACCTGTTGGCAAGAATGATTCTGCACTGGATTTCCAGGCTGACGTTATTATTGGTATTAATACTGGTTCCAAGATACACAAAGTTATCTACGACTTCAAAGTTATGACTGTCAACAGTGACGTGGGAGACGAGTCGCGAATGTGAGGACTGTTAGTTTGGAGATATTTCGTCTTGCCCTCATTCGCTACCAAACCCATACGCTTCGATTCCTCATCCAGTCTGTGCCGTGCCTCAAGCCAATTTTATCGACGGTTACTCTACACACTTATAGTAGATTTTATTATCTCTATTTAGCTTCAGGAATCAACTTGTCGGAAACTTCATTTGGTATCGAACGGTTTGGAAGTTCGCTCTCGAACCTGATGAAGCTTATGGTGTTGCTTAACGTCAGTTTACACAGCCGCCGTAAGCTACCCTCTCCAAGCACTTTGTTGTTCTTTAAGCAGGCAATCGCTATTCGAACCTCGTCATAGTCGGGTAATGGAAAAACTAATCCCCACATTCATCATCATCGATTGGGGTTTCAGTTTCCTCATGTCCGGAGGTGGCATTTTCAGCATGTTGGACAAGTGTTTCCTCCATAAATTCGTATACTCTGGGCATTTTAGGGTGCAGCTTTACTTGGCGTCCAGCACTGCTATGCTACACATGGTAAAGCGTATTTCTAGATTTGTTATAAACTAGCCAATACATCGATTCATACACATACACATACAATCATATATTCTCGGAATCAAACAACAAAACATTGTTGTACAACTTTTCTCCGCAGAATGTTCACAGAAAACAACAACTTAAATGAATAAGGTCAATGTCACTGTTTGTTTGCATTCGCCGTCACTTGCTTACCAGCAGAATTCCATAAACTTGTTGGTGACATTTGAGTGTTCGCCATGCAACTCGTCGGTAAGTATTTCCTGAAAGTTGCGCGTGCAACGCATCCAGTCGTCCTGTATGTAACTAAAGCAGTCCTTGTGTCGCAAGTAATCTGCAAATATGTAGAAAATCCAATTAGGAAACTTGCAAAAAATTTAAAACCAAAATTAACTAAATAATCAAAAGCAATAGGGATGAATTAACTGAATTACGAGATTCGCTCGAATCAAGGCAGGCAAATTTTTCTAAAGGAAGAAACTCTGAATTTGAAGTAGCAAAGAGTCTACGCGTAGGAAAACGAGGATTATTGGCACATCATTGGCAATCGCTTTTCCAAGGACATGAACCAACCAATCTGTGAATATCTGAAGATTGTATATATCTTCAGAATTCTAAAAAAAAAAAAACTTTGGCTAGCATTGCATACTGCTCTCAAGGCCAGGACTCGATTCAGGTGTAAATGTGGAAAGTGAATTTTTCTAATTACGGTCGCCCATCGGCAGGAGATTTCAAGCCCTTCGAGCGCACTTCGGACATGAAATAAAGGCGTCCCCATAAAAATCCATCGGCCGTTCGAAGGCGGCTTAAAATAATCTGTGAGTCCTCCCATTTGTTGGAAAACTGCAAGACACTTACTACAAATTGGAGGAGGAGTTCGGCCGAAATTGGCTCTATCAGTTATAAAGCGCCAAGTTTAAATGATGATCCATTGCGAGGTTCGCTACTTTTTTAAAGAAAAAAACTCAGATAACTCGAGTTTGATGGGAAATGTTTACTATTATTCAAAAGAACATTATTTGACATTTGTAGATTACTTCTTTCAAAACTTAGCCGGAAGTTTTGCATGTTTAAATGCTCATCGACCCAGAAATGAGCCACATCGCCGAACGAAATTTGGCTGAAAAACGTTGGATCTTCTTGCAACTTGTCAAGGGCCCATAGAGCAAAGCGATGTCGCTTGGGAAGGTCGAGCGGTTACAGTTCTTGCATAAGCTGTATTTTGTATGCTTTCAATTTAAGATCTCGACAGAAAATGCGTCACTTAATTCCACACGTCAGTTTGATTTGCTGCGAACGGCGCCGAGTCGACTCTCAACGGTATTCGTATTCACTCTCAGCTACAGCCGCTATATTTTCTTCACTGCGTACTGGACGTGGTTTATTCGGTCGAAAATTATTCAATGATAAATGCTGAGTCTCAAGATGGGCGTGGTGTTCCTTGCAGAATGATTTGTAAACGTTGTTCCGGCGTAAGTCATTTCATGATGAAATGCCAAACAGTACTGAAGAAAAATAACATGACAGCTTAACTGCCAAGTACCTCTACTTGGATATAAATTAAGTAGCCATGAAGAGGGCTTTAGCTCCTTTCACGAAGTACAAGAGAGCTTTAATGTACAATTTTGAAGCTTCTTCTTGTATTTTGTACTACGAAGCTTCGAAACATCTAAGACGACTGGCTGACACAGAAACGGAGGAGATGTTCTAACGCCTCTATCATGCATTTCTCTCCGCATCCCCAACGTGCGTCACTGCTAGCTTGTGGCCCGACAACAGTTCTGTAGTCCTTACATGATGATATTAATGGTTGTGTAGCTAATGCATTCCATCTCACTCAATGAGAATTTCGGGAATTTCATTACAAACCGCTTTCTATATCCTTTAATGGTTTGCTAGCGAGACGAATGGCATCTTTGGCAATCTCGATAGCTATATCGCGACCCATAATGTCCTTCTGGCTACTGCTTCCCTGTTAATAAGGACATTTTCTGGCGCAATACAATGTAATATTGTTGCTATAATGGCCGCCTGGCTGTCAACATACATATATACTGACATTTTGCATATCGCAGCAGCTTTCGCTATAGCAAAGACCTCCGCCTAAAAAAATACTTGGGTACTCCGAAAGGGTTCCCTGAGATCTAGCGCAGCGCAATAGACTCAAGCACAATAACAATTGTATGGTTTTTAATCGAAAGCTATTGAATATCTATATTTAAACTTTAAATTTAAAAAAAATAACTCGATTTTTGTACAAAAGTTGAAAATATTATATAAATATTGAAATTATTTAAATATTGAAAATATTTTTAATTTTTTTTTCGATGTGGCGAACCGTTTTTAAAAGTTCTCAAAGCTTAGAAGTCTTTCAAAAATGGAATATAGATTTTTTTAATCACTTCGTTCAATTCAAGTTACTGTGTTCATTGTCTTAGGTGTCTAAATGTAACAATCGGTCCCGGGTTCAGGTCAGTCCGGACTGTCATTGGTTCGTTTATCCTCGATTAGTTTAGCGGGACGTGGGTAAAGCTGTATTCGACGTAAGAAAAAGCCCAACATACCGAAAGGAAAAACCCAATAGCGCCAAGTTCGATCATGCCATTGTGGCACAAGCTCAAGGCTTTTGCATCTCGATAATGCAACTACTAACTTATCATTGGCTGTTCGTATTCATTTGCCCAGGACAACACCGTAATCTTGCTTCAACCTTGGTATTTAACAGATTTGTTCACATTCGCGAGAAAGAGCTTAAAGCACTTTAAAAATTGTATATCAGAACGATATTACATCTGATGGGGGACTACGTTGAAATGGGCAAAATAAAAGTTGTAGCAGAGTGAAATAATGAGAATTCACCATATTCTTTCAACAGACCTCGTACCTGCGCTTGTGTGCAAGGAAACTTTTACGGAAATTTCATGTTTGAAATGAAAAGTGACACTTCTACTTTGGAACTATAAGCAAAACATACATACAGACGCGTATAAAGCGACAAGTTTTGTTTAGTTTTAAGTATGCTTATATGACAACACATATTTGGAGTAATTTAATTTTAATGTGTTTGCATGGTAAACAACAAAAAATTTTATGTTTCATAAAGTTGAGGTGTCAACTATAAACTTTGGCAACATTAACAGGTAACTTTAGGCTACCATATTTTACTATACGTTTTTTTTTTTTTTGCTTTTCTTGATTTGTGAAATATAAAATTATGCTTTAACAGAGTAGAAAATTGTATAGCAGGTTTTCACAAAAGAAGCCAAATTTCGCAATTACCCAACGATTCAAAAAAAAAAGTTTTTTATTATTTTTATTCTGCTGTGAAACTATGTGCAATAGAAATGATAAGGAAATTCATAAAAAAAATCCCATGCCATGGAATTAGTTTCTACTCACCTTTTTGGAATTCACGATCACTGCAAAAGCGTTGGAAAAATCTACGTGCTCCTTCCACATTATTTTTAAACAGATTGAGGGTTTTATTGGTCAGACAACGTGACGTATAGTCATCGAAACATCTCATGCCCCGATTGAAAACTCTGCAAAATAATTGTAAATAAATATTAGGCTCACAAAATTTACAGTGGATACAATATGTTTGTTTTTAAAAACTTAAAATAAAGATATATACGTCGGTAACCATACAGGGTTTTCCAATAAGAGGTGTTTTTCCAATATTCAAAGAAAAATTTCACTTTTTGAAATAAACGATGGAATGTCTATTTCAATGTAAAGGGGAAGTTATGCTATTAATAATGGAAAACAATATCAGACAAATGACCGCCACGGCTACGCTTACCGGACGGTATTCTTTTTCGCAAATTGGCTGTTGTATCTTCTCCACAGGTTTCAATTAGAAAGCCAAAAGAAAATATTTTTTTTTGTTCCTCTAAAAAATTAAGAAATTTCCCGTAGAATACGCTCCAAAAAGTTTCAGATCGAAAATCGAACCCCTTATACATATGTTTTTACTTCATTTTTCGAGAATGAATTTTTCAGCGCATTTCAGATATACGCAAGCGGCCGACCGTAGTGAAAGTTTTATCTGTTGTATGGTTTTTTGAAATACCCCAGGCCGGATTTGTATACCTGAGGGTATTATATGTATGTATATATGTATGTATGTATGTATGTATGTGTGTATGTATGTTTACATATGCGCACATATACATCGGTTACATCAATGGCCATTGAGGCAGCGTGCGCTACGACGGAAAATTTCACGGCAATCAACATTCTGACAAGAGAGATACGAGCTCAGATTTGGATTTGTATCCAGATGTACAAAAGCATTTACTGCTGCCAATTTACCAGGATTTATCGAGAGACGACTTGTTACACCGTTGCCTAGGCGGTCATACGCAAAATGGGAATGAAAGTTTTAACAGCACGGTATGGCCCCTAGCACCTAAAAATTCTCATCCCGGCATAAAAATCGTTGAGATTTCAGCGTTGAGATATTGCGTTGGAGTGAATGAATGCCGTGGAAATCATCGTTGGTCAACAGAGCCTTGAATACGTGCAGTTAAAGGAGTCGGAAAGAATTAAGAGACAAGACGTTCGGACCGATTAAACCAGCAAAGAAGCCCGTAAGGTGCAAAATATCAAAAACAGCTGTACGAAGAGATTGAAGGCCTACTATATGCCTCTGGAATCGCTGTTTGAATCGAAAGTACAATTTTCGGTTTTCAAAACTTTAAAACTCAAAACAAAATTTCAAAAATTGGCAACCACAATCACTCGAAAAATACTTGTCCAAATTAGCTGACATTTTTTGGGTTTCTTTTTTACACCCAAGACTTGTCTGTGAACCTAAATAATTTGGAATTTTTATGTTGCAATATTGAATTATTAATTAATTATTATTTTGTTTTAATCTTTAAAGGTTTACCGACAAATTACATGTATATTTAAGCCGAAAATGTTATATGGGCTGTTACAGTTCAATAATACGATATCCAGAGTGGTTGCAGTTTTCTTTTTTTGGAGGTCAACTTCACGCCAGCGCACAGCCGCCATCCTCTTTTCAAAAGAAAAGAAAAAAAAATGTTTATATTCCTCGTCTATATTTCAAAAAGTGTACAAAGTTTTATAATGATTGTATCTACCCCCTTAAGACGCCGGTTGCTAATTGCCGGAGGTCAATTGCACGTGGCATTGGTTTCACTCTGTCATCTGCAGTTGACCCTTCCAGTGAAGACTAGTGTAGGAATCTTCTTTAACATTTGTAACTTGCTATTTTCAACTTTTCAATTTTTATGTTACTTAATTTTCTGAAACAATATAATTATCAACCAAACAAGTGGTGTTAAATAAATAAGTACTGAGTCAAGAAAAGCGATCATTTGCAGGTTTTCTCGGGGTTATGTTTGTTTCCTATTAGGTTATCTTATCGGCACAGCAGATCCCTGGGATATACCAGGTAGCCAAACCACGGACGTTCCGCATATAATCGAGAAAAAAAGTATAAAATTAGAACTCTTTCCATTTTTGTATAATAAAAAGCATTTAGCGAATTCTTTTTTTTTACTTCTGCCGCATAAGAAGAACGGTTCGGAATAAATATTTTAATACATCGGAACGTGTATCCAATATTATAGCATTTCTAATGCACGGCCGATGCACATTCGATGGAGCACGAGGCTGTGAATTTCCCTAGCAGTAGTTCAAGACAGATAAGACGGAAGTCCAGAGACTTCGTTGTCTTGGCACACTTGTGTAAAGCTTCGCTTTTCGTCCACGTTGCCTTCATAGCCGCTTTCCTGACTGCTTTTTTTTGCAAATAATAAATGTTTTCAAGAGAAGTAAGAGCGGCACATTGGCTTTCTAGCACGATTCGTAGCCCTCTTGGGTATAGTCACTTGCAGTGGACCAATCCTTTTTCAAAAGTGGAAGGCAGCTTATTAAATATGTGCTAGAAGGTTCTGGACTGATAACCCCAATATTCTTAATTTCAACGTCTGGTTAAGGCACAATCCATCATCGCTGTGGTTAAGGAATTCTAAGTATGTGAGAGCGGCACCGGATTAAATTAGCTTTTGGGCTAATGTCATAGTCTCCGTCCAGCTAAAACTAATCTCGTCGTCATAAAGTACTCACAACTTACAGGTGTAGTTAAAGTTAATCCCGTTCTTCACAATGGATCTCGATCTGTTTTCATTGACTTCATATATAAGCTGTAGAAAAAGGAGGAATTCTTACGCGTCTCATATCATCGGAATCTTTTACTTTTTGTACTTTCACTCAATTGAAAATAAAGTGTTCCACTTTTGAAACGTCCAAAGGAGGTGAGAGGCTCCATATCAAGTATTGCATTGTAACCACCGAATATGGCGGTGGTCAATCTAATGATCTGGAGTTGTTTCTCTGGTCAAGGTATCGAACTAATTCATCAAATAATTCGAATAATGAATCGTTTCATATCTACCGACATTTCAGCAAATGTAATGCTGCCATACGCTGGTGAGGAGATGGCCTTGAAATGGAGTTTACAGCAAAACAACGATCCCTAGCATACCTCGAAGCATTGTAAAACTTGCTTGAGATGTAAAGGCATTGACCGCTTAAATGGGTTTGCTCAGTTCCCTGATCTCAAACCTATTGAACACTTATGGACGGTCGTAAATATGCAAATTAATAGGGAACACACCTAAAAATCAAGGACGAATTGTGTAAGGATGCGAAATTGGCATGGAAGGGCATATCTCAAGATTTTATCGATAGTTTGATACCTAAAAGAATCATTTCAATCAACCAAAGTTAGGGGTTTGCTACAAAATATTAGCCCAGAGACGTATTTATACTCCAATGAAAAGGGTGCTTTAGTTTTTCCTTTCAATTTTGGACTATTTTTATGTTAAACTTTTCAAATAAAAAGAAATTTACAAAAGGTATTACATGCTTTATTAAAAATTAATATATAAACATAAATGAAATGCAAAAAAAAAAATAATTTCCAATCAATTTATTTAAAGAAAACATCACTATAAAAAAATTTCAGTACAGAGGGTGCTTTAGTTTTGGTACATTTAAATTAAAATTAATTTCAACCGAACTGATGGGGGATATGGGTACCTTCCAAAAAGATAGCTACTAACCGAAGAAGCCAGAAAATAAGCAAAATTAAGCCTACCCATTCAAATTCTCAATATCCACTTTTCGACTCTACGCAAATCTTTGTTTATTAACTAGAATAAAATCAGGAAAATTAAAAAAAAACATAAAATATATGTTAAAAGAAGATGCGATAATTGCCTGCAGCATTAAGCGTTGTTTGCCAATGACTTTAAATTGGTTAAAAATCATTTTAAATTATATTATGTAAATTAAACAAAGCCAAAATAAAGAGATAAAACTTCCAAATAGGATGAGCAAGTACATTGCAAAGAAATTTCCAAGAAATTATGAAGCATACTACAACTAAGAAAAGTTTTTCTTTCGTTTTTGTTTTTGTTTTTTTTTTTTATTTCAAGTTTTCCCTGCTTTTCCAGTTAATTTAAAATAAAAGCTTTAAATTCTGTTACCGCCATATTTCTGATATTTCTGTTTGTTAGCTTGAATATTATTCACATTCCCCTATTTGTAAAGGAAATCCACAAAATCAGAATTTTAAATCAAATTGGATTTATTAAACAATTGACAAGCAGAATAGTTATTCCATATTTTATTTTATTTAATTTTTTTTTATTTATGTTATTTCTTTTTTTTAATTTATTTCATTTTATTTTTTTAAATTTATTTTATTTCATTTTTTTTTTAATTTATTTTTTATACATTTTTTTTGTGCAGAATATACTGCAGGCAGCTTGCATAAAATACGTTCATACAAATTAAATAATTTGGCGTGTGAATTTCCTTCTAACGAGCAACTTAGGCATCTGGTTTTTAATATTCACATTATTACCTAATAATTTCCATTTCTGGTAGGCAGCGCTCCATACTTTCAAAACTGTGGTGCTCTCAACCATTCAGACGACATAACCTAGCCCGCGTAGCCGCTGTCTGTTTACGTGCTAAACTATGTCCAAGCCACCGTATATCTCGAAAGCTCATCATTCCAGCGGCTACGGTATTTGCCGTTCTCAACTCGAAGTGGACCATAAACCTTACGCAAAACCTTTATCTCGAAAGGTCGTCACACCGACTCATCAAATGATGAAATCTTGCATGCCACCGCATCATTTAACAGGATGGGAACGACGAGTGGATTTTAAGGTCTTGTCTTTGCTTGTAAAAAAAAGGACTTCACTGTTCGGTTTGCCTGGACAGTACAAATAAGTACCAGTTCTTTTTTTTGCTGACAGGATATATTTCCTCTTGTTCTCGTTCAATACCAGACTGATATAGTTGACTGCAAACAATCATGTTTCGGGCACTGAGGAAGTCGATCAGCCTTAACCGATTTGGGAATTTTCCGCCGTGGAGTATTAAATATTCGACAGTTATACCAAAGCTACCTTCTTTTCTCAGTCTGCCATTAAAATCGCCAAAGAAACGGTATCGTACTCCGCGGCAGCGCTCCTAAATACGCTCCAGACGC